AGGAAAGAAAACTTCAGACCAATATCTCTGATGAATATACATGCAAAAATTCTCAATAAAATACTGGCAAATCACATACAAAAACACATTAAAAAGATAGTGCACCATGATCAAGTGGGGTTCATTCTAGGGATACAAGGTTGGTTCAACACATGGAAATCAATAAATGTAATTCATCACACAAAATAGACTAAAGGGCAAGAATCACATGATTATCTCAATAGATGCAGAAAAGGCATTTGACAAAATAAAATATCTTTCTTGCTTAAAACACTAGAAATTAGAGATAAAAGGATCATACCTCAACATTGTAAAAGCTATATTTGACAAGCTCAAGCCCATCATTATAAATGGGGAGAAACTGAAAGTATTTCCTCTAAAAACAGGAACTAGACAGGGATATCCACTTTCACCACTTACATTAATGTAGTCCTTGAATCTCTAGACAGAGCAATTAGGCAAAAGAATGAAATAAAAGGGATACAAATAAGAAAAGAAGAGTTAAAACTAGCTCTCTTTACCAAATGCATGAGTCTATTCAGAAGACTCAAAAAAAAAAAAAAAAAAGAAAGAAAGAAACTCCACTAGAAAACTTCTAGAACTCACCAATGAATTCAGCAATGTAGCAGGATACAAAATTAACATTTATAAATTAATTGTGTTTCTCTACTCCAATGACAAATTCACTGAAAGAGAAATTAGGAAAACCATCCTATTCACAATAGTGTCAAAAAATAAAATACATGGGAATCGACGTAACAAAAAAAGTGAAAGACTTCTACAATGAAAATTACAAACAGTTAAAGAAAGAAATTGAGGAAAACCTTAGAAGATGGAAAGACCTTCCACATTCTTGGACAGTGAGAATTAATATCATCAAAATGGCCATACTACCCAAAGCACTAAACAGATTCAATGCAATTCCCATGAAAATTCCAATGATGCTCTTCATGGAAATAGGAAAAGCAGTCATGAAATTCATTTGGAAAAACAAGAGGCCCAGAATAGCCAAAGCAATCCTTATTGAGAAAAGTGAAGCAGGAGGCATCATAATACCAGACCTAAAATTATACTATAGAGCTATAGTAACAAAAACATCATGGTATCGGCACCAAAACAGACATGAAGACCAATGGAACAGAATAGCAGACACAGGAACAAACCCACATAAATACAGTTACTTAATGTTAGGCAAAGGTACCAATTATATAAGCAATAACATACATTGGAGAAAAGATAGCCTCTTCAACAAATGGTGCTAAGAAAACTGGAAATCCATGTGTAGTAGACTGAAATTTAGCCTCTATCTCCAACCCTGCACAAAAGTCAGCTCCAAGTGGATCAAGGACCTAGGAATTAAACCAGAAACCCTGCATATACTAGAAGAAAAGTTAGGCCCAACGCTATAACATAACAGCATAGGAACTGAATTCCTTAATACGACCCCTAAAGTGCAAGAAGAAAAATCAATAATAAAAAAAGGGGATGGCATCAAACTAAAAAGCTTCTCCACAGTAAAGGAAACAATCAAGATCATAAATAGAGAGCCTACAGAATGGGAGAAAATAATTGCCACCTGCACCTGAGAGAAAGCATTAATTTCCAGGATATATAAAGAACTCAAAAAAACTAACACCAAAACAATAATAGCAATAACAACAACACAACCAAATAAATAAATGGGCAAAGGAACTGAACAGACATTTTACAGAATAAGAAATATGAATGGTCAACAAATATATTTAAAAAGTTCAACATCTCTAGCAATTAGAGAAATGCAAATTAAAACTACATTGAAATTCCATCTCACTCTAGTCAGAATGGCAATTATCAAGAATACAAGTACCAATAAATGTTGGCAAGAATGTGGGGGGAAAGCTACATCCATACATTGCTGTGGGGCTGCAAATTGGGGCAATCACTCAGTGTGATTACCGAATCATACTGAATCAGTATGGAGAGTCCTCAAAAAACTAAGAATAGAACTACCACTTGACCCAGCTATCCCACTCCTTAGTATATACTCAAATGACTTAAAATCAGCATACTACAGTAATGCAGCCACATCAATGTTTGTAGCAGCTCAATTCACAATAGCTAAGCTAAGGAACCAATCTAAGGGCTCTTCAATAGATGAATAGATAAAGAAAATGTGGTATGTATATGCAATGGAGTATTACTCAGCCATAAAGAAGAATGATTTTATGATATTTGCCAGGAAATGAATGAATCTGGAGACTATTATGCTAAGTGAAGTAAGCCGATTCCAAAAAACCTAAAGACGAATGTTTTCTCTGATAGATTGAAGTTTGCCCACAGTAAAGTGGGGTAGTGAGGGGAAGATTAGAAGTTCACTAGATTAGACAATGGGGAATGGAGGGAAGAGATGGGGGATAAGTGAAGGAAAGACAATGGAATGAATTTGACATAATTTTCCCATGTACACATATGAAAACAACACAGTGAATCCCCTCACCATGAACATCCATAAGAATGGGACTCTTTTAATAAAAAAAAAAAAAAGTTGGTTCTTCTTAGTTATACATGACAGCAGAATCCATTTTTATATCATTATACAAGCATGGAATATATTTTATTGTAATTAGGACCCCTGTCTTGTGGATGTACATGATGGTGAGATTCACTATGGTGTATTCATTTTTTTTTTAAAGAGAGAGTGAGAGAGGAGAGAGAGAGAAGAGAGAGAGAGAGAGAGAGAGAAAGAGAATTTTTAATATTTATTTTTTAGTTCTAGGCGGACACAACATCTTTGTTGGTATGTGGTGCTGAGGATCGAACCCGGGCCGCACGCATGCCAGGCGAGCACACCACTGCTTGAGCCACATCCCCAGCCCCACTATGGTGTATTCATAAATGTACAAAAGAAAGTTATGTCAGATTCATTCCATGGTCTTTCCATTTCCTATCCTTCCCTCCTGCTTCCCTCCTGCTACAGTCCCCTCAATGACATTCTTCCATTTCCTCTTCCTTCCTCCAGAGGTATCTAGAGCTAAAGCAATTTTAGGTCACCTTTAACAGCAGTCAGAACTTAAATTCAAACGGAATAGTCATACATCCATAACTGGCGAACACCGAACTGGCCTAAGGATCATTCAGAATACTCTCTTTTTAAAGCTCAGTATACGGAGACCCAAGGAGGGAAAGGGGCCTGTTCAGCTCTGTAGTGGTACAGTCAGAGCTCAGACCTGGTCTCTGGATTCCCTGTCCTTCCCTCGTGCTTGCATTACTGGTGACTTCTGAGGAATCCCAGGAGTCTTGTGGGAAAGGGACAGGTGGTGTCAGTAAATGAGCTCCTGTGTCTGGGGAATGTGCCTTGGAGATGGAGTCCTAGCTCCAGCTGACATAGTTCATCACAGAGAACGTGGCTTAGCAGATGTATGTTACAAAAGGCAAGAGGGGAAAATCAGGCAGGAACGAAGTAGAATTTCGAGTCCAGGTCTGGTGCTCTACTTGCTGCCCTACCAGGTCTTATGCAAAATAAACTTGTTATAACTGTGTAAACCTATGTTTAAAAGCATTTTACAAACATGTTCCTCAAATAAATGTGGTTTTGTGCATTTAGATATAAAACAGTTATTTCATTACTGCTGCCTGAAAATACATCATTATGCATGTATTAGCTAAGTAATCTCTCTTTCAATCTCCCCTCTATTGATAGTCCCAAATTACCCTTACCTTGGTAGTACCAGAATTGGCAGAAGAATCAGCCCCATAAATTTTAAAGACTTCCTCAATTGGGATACTGTTCTGTTAAATAAAAACAGCAATATCAAGGTGTTGTCATATCTTGCCTTTTATTTTATTTCAAAACAAAGCTATCAGAGCTTGTTTGTCTAGTACTATATGTGGTGTCATAGTCACTAAATAACTAACTTTCGAATAAATGAATAAGTCAGTCTTCCCGATACCAATTAGTTATGTCTCTCATTTTTATTTTTTTGTTGTTGTTTCTTAAATAAATGTTCTTGCAGTACAGTATAGAAGTCAAAATCTTTTTTATGATGTCATTAAAAAGGAAACATTTGCTATTAGTAGATGCTAAACATTTATCAAAAAATAACCTATATGCACAATAACATTATAAATTCGCGTAGTGGATATAAGATACTAATACATGCAGTATTCTTTTCCTTACCATTAAGATTCCAGCATAAGATGATAAAATCATTGCTTCTCTTTCTCTGTGGTTTGGATATCTGGGTCGATCATGAAGAGGCATTTTCCTAAGAAGGAATATAAATAAGAGTTGAAGATTTATTTGTATTCCTCATGACACTCGCTAAGTCTGTGATAATAATCCATAAATAATCTGCATTGGCTATGTGCTACCCACTTATTGATAAAAAAAATCAATGTGATTAATCCTCTGTCAGTAATACCACTTTGAAGTTTTAATCTTCTAATGTTGATGACGAATTTGTCCTCTTTACTCATGTCTTCATAGCTATCAAACACTGACAGACTGGCCATTGTGGCAGATGTTGCTGGCTTCAGATCCTTTTTCCTGATTGTGGTAATTTGCTTGTGGTGAACTGCCTAACCCCACTGCAAGCTTATGTGCCTCTAGGAAGACCAATCACTCCCCTAGAATCCAAGAATGGAAAGAGCACTGTGGACTAAGCTAGTCAGTATATCCCCTGCCCTGTCCACGCAGAGCAAATGGGGCAAGAGGCAGGTACCAGGGACATCAACGGAGTTTTGTATGAAACTATGCCAAGCACAGACTTGTCTACAGATCTCTGATAGAGGCAACTTGTTTTTTCTCTCTTAAGTTTGTTCAAACTGAATTTTCTGATTATTACAACCAAATCAAGCTACTACATTCCATCCAGATGTATAGTCCAAGGCCTAGGGACAGAAAAAAAAAAAAATAACTGGTTTCTGGAATAGACTATTTCATCCTGACCTTGTTAGTTCCCTCTCTTATCAACTAAGTGCCTGTCTGACACTACATGTGGAAGAAAATGCTAATAATCCTGGAAAGGAAATTATTTCATGATTCAAGCAGCTTGGCTCAGGTACCTATCTGCTTAAACTCTCCAGAGATTGGGTTTGACAGTCCTTAGGAAAAGATTGCAGTTTTCACCCACCAAATTGATCATTTTGAAAATCACAGCTTGTACACAAAAAAGCATGGGTCATGTTTTTCGGTGGGAAGTTTATGCAAGAAAATTTTTTTTAATCCGATAGAAACCAATTGGTAGAAATGCAAAATATGTAAACACATCTCTGACTTTATTTAAAGTTGGCAAAGATGGTTTTTTTTTTTTCAGGTTTCTAGTTGAAGGGGGATAGTTACCCTGGAGTATACTCAAATCAGAGTGCCTATGGGTGAAAGATGCCAGATAGAGCTCGAATTCCCTGCACCATTAATCCAAGTCAGATGTTAAACAACAACAACAACAAATGTACTACAACTTACACTTCTTCCCACTTGAGCCAAGTTAAATCTTCGGAGTGATCCAGCCACTGCAAAGCAACGCTGATGGCCAAGTCATAGTGTGCCTGGAAGAGGGAGCACAGACAGCAAAGGAGAAGGCTGAGACACTGACCACGGGACTCCCTGGCACTGCTAAGCCTGCTCTATTTTGTCATGTCCAAAAGGGGAAGGATGATTAGCTAAGCCTCATAACCCGATGCTCAGCCAGAAATACTTCAGGATCTTCAGACAGTAAATTTATCTTCCACTAGAGCAATCATTTGATTCGTGTGGTTCCAAAAAAGAAAGACTAGATTAGTGGAAAGAATATCAACCCAGGAATCAGGGAATCTGAGTTCAAATCTGGGTGTTGCCAACAACTCATAGTCTATCCTTGGAGTGAGTGACTGATGCTCTCTGGGCCTCAATTTCCTTAAGTTTTAAAATAGAAAAAGGTAAGAGTAGGGGAAGAGGGCCACAGAGAACTTCTGATTCTGGGTGACATCAGAAATGTGCTTCCAGGATATAGGGGAAGTGCTGTGGGAACTTGGAGGCAGAGACTCTTGTGTCTACCTGGGCAGGTGGTGCAGATAGATGGTTTCAGAGAGGGAGCTTTCTCAAAGCTAGAGCTTGGAGGATGAGGACAGTTTCCCAGAGGGACATCCCAGTGGAGGGACCAACATGAGAAAAGGATTGGTGGTGGACCTGATCAAGGGACACGCAGAGTCACACATACTGCTTAAAGCTGAGGGACAATTTGAATGCTCATTTATATTCTAACAATGACTTTTCCCTGGTCATTTCTAAGAGTTTTTGTTTAGTGAGTATACCATTTATCTCTCCTTCTCATCCCCAAAGAAAAGGGAAAGTTGATTTTGATTTTGTTTATTTTAGATGGGCTCTAAGGTTCTTAACATTCTCCAAATAATAGAATTATTTCTTCCAGGCACTGAACCAAACTGAAATGTGAATCTAAATAAATAAAGAGGGAAAATTGGATAGTGCTCAGTTTTGCAACCTAACCCAGGGTCGGAAACCTGGATCAGCAGCATTGGATTGTTTATATGCTCATTAGAGATGTAAATTCTCAGACTGGCCCAGGCGTCCCAAATCAAAACAACATGGCAACAATAAGACCTCAATAAAGTTTGAGAAGCACAGTTCTAATCTATGTAATTTCTCTGTTCAATATGTGTCCAGAGAGAATCAGACTAAACTCTGCTCCAAGGCGTATTTGAAAAGTCAGTGAACATTGCTTTAATCAGAGTTGGAAGAAGAGGGGCAGGGAAAAGAGAGATTCTTTCTTCTTTCTTAGTGCAAAGGTAGCAAATGGGCAGAGGAAAAGCTGGGGGAATATGAAGTTCTCTTGGATTAGAACTTTCTACTAATTTCTCTTGGATTAAATCTTTCTAATTTCTGTGTCATGAACTTTGAGAACCTAACTTGGATCTGGGTTTCAATTTGAATAACACAAGGGATTTTAGGATTATACATTGCTTTGGTTTGTCCCCCACCCCCTTATCATGCAGATGATGAGGAAATGAGTCTGTTTGAGAACTACATGGTAGCTAATTTTGTCAAGAACTTTTTAATATCTTGAATGCAATATTTTACCTTGCACTCACTTGCTTTTTCATCTTTTCTCCCCTAATACGACTTTTATTTTCTCATCCTTTTTTGCTTTCAGTTTAGTGGGTCAAAATGATCGTAGGGACAATGTCAGGATGAGGAAAATGAGGAAGAGGACGTGCGTGTGCGCGCGCATATGTGTGTGTGTGTGTGTGTGTGTGTGCGTGCGTGCGTGTGTGCATGCGTGCGTGTGTGCGTGTGTGTGTGTGTGTGTGTGTGTGTGTGTGCACCCCATTCACTCCATAACCTCAATCCTGGTTCTGCCCTCTTAATACACATAGAACACAAATGTGAGCCGCGTCAGCATGCCTTTCTTTACCATATCATCTAGAAAGGTGGGTTGCCTTCTTCCTTTTGGGTCAAATTCATTTTCCCGAAGTCTGATGCCAATATAATCTCCCCTTAAAAGCAAGAGAGCAGCATTGAACCATCGTGGGTGACTCAGGATTCAGTCTGCCGACAGAGGCTTTCTTCCCAAACCTTCCCTCCCAGACTGAGATACAGCAGAAGTGGCCGATAACCTGGTAGCTGCCTTAATATTCATTTTCAGTTTACACAGTAGTCTTGCCATGCTGCAGGTTTAAAAGGCCTAACCATAATTAACTTCAATCACATTTATCTGAAATTAAACTCATGGGAACAGGATTTACAACAAAGCACAAGCATATCAAATACCCACACACAGAGAAAGTTTCTTGCAAAAGTAGAGTTGAGACCCACTATTTCATGTGAAGATTCCTTTTCAGTTCACGCTAAATTCAAGCAGAACATCCAAAGCTGGTAAATTCCAGATATATAAAGTGCTATAAGAATGTATTCTTTTATGCTAATCTTTCTGCATTGAAATTCAATTGCCCTTAGAAGGAATTATTCATGAAAACTTTTTAGTAATTCCATCTTAATGTATTCATGTTAGATTCTTTTCTAACCATAACTTTTAATAAAAGGAGGGTAGACTAAGCATCATGGGAAAAGAAAAGAAATGGGTTCTATTGTGGGAAAGTCAGAGAGAGGAACTGGATTCAGGAAAAACACTCTGGTGGCTTCAAGATTGATATCCAAAAACCTTACCTTTTTATATAAGGTCAGTTCTGGTTGTCTATTTACCATACTAGGATATTTGGACCCTCCACCGTGTGGAGGGGAAGTTTGTTTCTGGCTTTTAAAGGTTTCTTCTGAGTCCTTAACTTTTCTAGATTGATAATATTCTTAAATTTTTGCTGTAATATTCCAAGTTACCTTCCAAGAAGCCTAAATCTATTCTTTGAATCTAAAATTATGTCAATTTTGAAATTCCATTATTCGGATATATGTAGGGGAGTCAGCATCCTTTGTTTTTAATTTTTTTTTAGTTGTAGATTAACTTTTATTTTATGTATTTATATGTGGTTCTGAGGATTGAACCCAGGGCTTCAAACATGCTAGGCAAATGCTACACCACTAAACCACTCAGTATCCAGCCCCGAGAGTCAGCATTCTTGATTGTGGCTTGTTTATTATTGTATTAGCCTCCAAGCACATAAAAGTAAATGTATGAAAATTCACACATGGCATATTCCAGCATTTCTGAAGGACGTAGTAAAAGACAGTTAACTTAGTAGGCAGAGAAAGGACATTTGATGGGGTCTGGGATAACATCTGATGAAAAGGGATTTTTATTGTTGTGCCTATAATACATATGAAATAGAATATAATCTTTTCCTAGCTTCTTACATGGTCTGTGATTTTTCCACCAACATTTGTTAAGTACCAAGTCAAAGAAAATCTACAGAAGAGGGAAAAAAATTTCATGCTGACTTGATGTTTTCAGCCCCACCCCTGCCTTTTTTTTTTTAATCAGTTGTCAAGAAAAAGGAAATAAATTATTTGGTCGATAAGGCTGACAATAAATGCTGCAGAGGCTTCAGTTTAAATGCTGGATCCTTGGATACATTTTCCAGGAATCTCTCCTATATCTTTTACCAGCAGGGCCAGCCTCTTTTGTTGGTGCATACCGTGCCCTGCTTTGCTCGCAGGCTGTAGAATGGGGACACCTCCAATCTGCCTGCTGCCAGCAGAAACATCCTCCTGAGAGATTCAGCATCCCGCTTTGCACTACATTTGAGATCTCTCTGGCAGGAGACAGGCCAGATCATCTTCTGGCTTTCTCCTGTAGTGCAGGAATAGAGTCTTCCTTAGCTTTTTACCCGCCTGCCAACATCCAAGCTTCTATGACAGCCCACCAAATGCCAAGTGTCATAAAAGTTATTCTCAGTCATACTTACAGGAGCTTTTTCATTTCCTTTTTTACAAGCCTTCTTTCCATGATTAAAGACTTATCCAGCTGAGCCAGTACCTGCAGCTTACACTGCACCTGATGTCTTTTGGGAAGATCTGCCTCTCGGAGCCTAGAAACTACAGCAGCAAATCAGAGAGAATTTGAATTAGGGATGCTGTCTCTCCAAATACCAGTCATGGAGTCCCAGATTCTGGAATGGATTGAGAATGTGCCTCTTGTCCAGCAGGCTGGGTCAGAAAGCTGTCTGAAGGCAAGTGCACTGTACCTTGTATTTATCTGACAACATGCATTCCTTCCAAGTTTTCCTTACACTTATCATGTACTTATCCTTACAATAAGCCAGCAAGTAATTGGCTATTTTGCCAGAATCACGCAAACCTTGATGGCTTGTGATCTGAATCTGTTGGAGGTTTTCTGTGTGTGTCAACATTAGTGACTTCAGGGTGCTCACCCTAGCATGATGGCTCCTAATGGAGTTTTCCTGAAACCTGTCCATAACCTATGGCCAGGAGGTCCTTGAAAGACCATGTGATTGTGGCTAAGGTGTTTTCAGTTCCCAGCCTGACTGAACCAGAAATGAAAGATCAGGAGATTGGGTCAAAAGTGGCCTAAAGTCATTAAAAGAAGTTTATACAAACTCATCCCTATTGAATGGGTACCAAGGGAGAATTATCAATGGGAATCAAGTTTATCACTAAAGTTGAATCCAAAATCTTTAAAATGATTTGAAGTACATTGTGGTAGTTCATTTTATGTGTCAACCTGTTTGGGCTACTCTGCCCAAATATTTGATCACACATTATTCTACATGTTTCAGTGAAAGTGGTTATTTTTGGGGGGTTGGGTGAGATTGACATTTAAACAGGTGGGCTTTGAGAAAAGCAGTATCCTTCATAATGGGAGTGGACCTGACCTCCCTCATTAAGTGAAGGACTTGAAAGTCTAAAAGAATAAGACTTACACCCCACCCCCTTCAGCAGGAAGGAATTCTGCTAGCAGGTGGTCAATTCTAACTGCAGCTCTTCCCAAGTCTCCAGCAGGCTCATCTCCCCCATCAGATTGTGAATGTGAACTGACCAAGCCTCCACCATCTGGTGAGTCAACCCCTGCATGCTGCCAGCAGCAAATATAAATATATTTATATGTGTGTGTGTGTGTGTTCATAGGATATTTGTTCATAGGATATTATTTGTCCTATCTCAATTCCTTCACAGGAAGTGGGCTTAATTAACTTTAAAGCTTAAAAAGTAAAAGATTTAACATTTGAATTTCAGAGTTATAAATTATAAAATTTGCATCTCTGAGTTGCTGTTAGAACCTCTCCCTCTATTCAAGGTGGCATAATATAAAAAGGCTTAAGTATTAAAATTATGAGCATCTCCCACTCCCAAACTACTAGGCTGGAGGTCAGGAGAAACTATGAGGCCACCAACTAGCTGTGTCACTGTGAACCGATGAATTTGCGTCTCTGTTTTTTCATATTTCTTCCTCTGCAAAACATTGAACGATGGGAAGTTTCCTTCTAACTATAGAATATAGTAACTTACATGCATTTAGCAGCCAAGCCTAGTTGAGAGAGGGACATTTGTAAAGATTATTCAGTTAGATTTGGATTTTGCCCACCACCCCTCTTTTTTGTCTGTGGAACTTCAAAGAAAACAAGACCAAGGGCTGCAAACACAAGCAAAAGAGGTACTGGAAAGATGTCAGCTGCCTCAGGCTTTCGTTCTTTCATAGGCACAAAACCCCCAGAAGTCACAGCCCCCATATTCTCTAGGGTTACCGGTGGCTGAGGAATGCTTGTACATGCCAGCCCTCCCTCCGCCTCTCCTGCTGTGTTCTATCAGGTGCCTGGATCTTAACAAAAGTCCCCTTCAAGAATCTCTCACCCTCTGGAGCGGACTGCAGTGCTTTTGTTCTTTCTCTGCTTTGGAGGCAAATGTGAGCATCAGCAGCAGGCGTGGGCTGGTGCCCACAGACATGGGGAAAACAGATGATTTTTCCTGGTTGCTAGGAAACTATGACTGAATGAAACTAATGGCTTTAAAACTCCCCCCCACCACCACCACCACCACCACACACACACCCTGAAAGTGGGGGAGGCGCTCATAGACTGGAGACAGGATTGTGATCCTGATCTGAAGTTCAAGTATCTTTTTACCTGAGTAGGCTTCTGTGTCATCTAAATGATTAATATGAAAAGCAAGTCAATGCCAGAAGATTCGAGGAGTCCACTCCCCCGAGGGTTTTTTATAGCATCTGGCTGCAGACATAGAAGTCTGACCAAGCAAGGATTACTGGAGAGGCCAGTGAAACACGGGCTTCTTCGTACATACAGGGCTCTAAGGAAGCACCCCCAAAGAAGGGTGATTCTAGTCAGTGACTCCAGATGCAGAGCAGTGACAGTCCTAGGAGCCATCACGGGGTCTAGCCATCACCTCCCCTCTTGCTGAGTGGACCTCCTATTCCCACACTTTCCTCTTTATCTTAAACCTTTGCCCCTTGCATAGAGTCTGCAGAGGGTTTCCCATTCCTTTTAGAACAATAATCCTAATTCCTGACCTTGGCTTGTAAGTGTCTCTTCTACATTGCTGGACAGAGGCTGAGCTTGCTGCTGTGCCTAACCTAGGGCAGGGTGTCTGATATCAATACTGCTTAATCCTCATTTTTACTTCTCTCCACTGACTCCCTTGGTTATGTAGGAGAGGAAAAATATCTTTTCCTCTGCCATCGCTGGGTTCATGGCTGAGAGCTCTCTAACAATACACAGACTAACAAAAGGAAACATTCAAATTGATTTACTATAAGTTTTACATGACATGGGAGCCTGAAGAATGAAATGAAGACCTGAAGGAACTTATCTTGTGTACTTTTTTTTATCTTTAGTTTTGATAAAGGTAGACTATCATTGTGTGTTATGAGCCCCAGGGGGTATGATCTCATGATAATCAAATGGGAAACTTAAAAAGCCTGTTTGTTCAGATGCTTCTCTGTGTCTCTGTGTCTTTGGCTCCTTTCCTTCAGATCAGGGGGGTTACCTCTTACATGAGTGTCTGAGGATCTGCTGCAGGGGAAGGTTAGAAAATCCTGCTAGGTCTCATGGCCTGTGCGTGGGGAGAGAAGAAAGAGGAAAGGTCAGAGTGAAGATCTTATTTCTATTGCTGTCTCAATGCTTATGAAAGCTCCTATGTCATGTAAAACTTGAATTTTAAAAAATCTGCATGCCTTTCTCTCTCTACCTTTTGCTAGAAGGGCTTCAGCCATGAATCCAAGATTGGTGCAGAAAAGACAGTCTCCTCCCTATAGCCAGCTGATAGTAATTTGGGTATTTGTATTTGGTAAGGGATGGGCTGCATGCACAGACTGTGTAAAGTAACCCATGTGGGCATAGTATTTTTGGCATTAAAAAAAAAAAAAAACCACACAGACGTGATTTAGTAAAACTTCTCTGTGAACACAAGAGATTAGTCATTCTAGGGTAACAAGGTTAAGAATGTGCTCACCCTTGGATTTAGGCATGTCTGGGCACACCTGGGCAGGACCCAGAGCTGTGAGATTATCAGGATCATATTTGTATCAGTGAGGAACTTTAAAAAGTCCCAAGAACAGTAAGCTAAGACTCTCTGAGGGTAAGTGTGGGAAGTCAAACTAGGACATGACTATGTCTGACTCCCCTGCTGACTGGTGTGGCATCTGGTGGTCACACTGTGATCTGATAGCCTGGTTTTCTAGGGTTCCAGCGATTGTGTCTTCGTGCCTTCCCACATCCCCAGGATTCAATTACCTCCCCTGTCCTTGTAACCCTGCCCCCCTTGACCTTCATTGGATGGGAATTCCTAAGAATTTAGAGTCCCTTCTAATAAAAGTCCACAAAGCATGCTCCCTCTCCCATTTGGAGAGCTTGAGGCCGAGGGCAGAGGACCTGTCCCAGAGCTTGGTTTAAAGGTAAATTGTGTATCTGTGTTTTATTATTAATACCTTGGGAATTTTCCCCGAACGACCTTAGTTAGCCGTCTGTGCTGGATGCAGGTGGCAGGTAAGGCTGAACTACCCTATTCTTTAAGAAATTTCTCCATGGGCTCTGGTATACAAATAAGGTTGATAACCAGGGATGCATGTGACAATCAGGGATATCCTAGGTGATGCTTCATTATTGCAGTTGCTCTAATCTTTAGCTTGAGAGCAAGTTTCCTTCACTTATTTATAAAGACATAAGAGATGGATCACTCTTTCTCCCATCATTATTATACTAGATAGAACACCCAGCAATTGAGAGCCAACTTAGTGCCAGTCAGAGGATGAAGCTACTGTGTGGATGAGGGCGGAGTCAAAGTGTTACAGAGTGCTATTACAGACCACCCACACATACTGAGCCAAACTGAAAGAGGAAAAAGGTCCTGTAATGAGCATGCCAGGCAAGCAGTTGGGAGCAGGCTAGCACCTCAAATGCCAGAACCTGAATTTTGGACGGAGTTTATAAAGGCAAAACCACAGGACAGTTGAGGCACCTGTAGGTCAGAAAAGACCTTGTTGAGACATATTTTGATTACACGAGAGACTTGTTTCAATTACACATTTTTGTTGTACTTCAGGGCCATAATCAGTTCAAGGTCCTTCTGTACTTCAACATAGATACCGCTGTCGGGAAGCTGAAAAGAAAACATGTTCAACAAGCACAAAATGGAGTCAGGTCAGAACAAAATGGCATTGCTTTGGTTCTTTTCCATTTCCAAAGAACTTCCAGGTCTGTGTTTTTATGTTTAAACTTCTTTTGTTTTAAAAAGAACTTATTTTTAAAGCCAACTTTAGTTGGAGATTGACAGAAATTTTAGCCAAAGCTCTCCTAAGTAACACCTTCCTCCAATCCAACCTTGAAATTCACGCAGGGTCCTCAGTAGAAGGACATGAATAAAACAAAATAGTGAATAAAAACAAAGTGTATTTTCCCTGTGATTGTAAAATCAAAACTCTTGAGATAGAGTGTTCTCTGAAATAGTTTATTGAGTCCTTATAGATGCTAGTGAGGAAAAGGCCACGTTCTGGAAAAGTGCCCACAAATTCCAGCAGCAAAACTAAGTAATAGTTGGAAGATGTCCACCAGACCTGTTAGTCAAGAACATTTTGATAATGAAAATTTGGGGAAGGAAGGCGGAAGTTTTTGCACTGAGCCTGCATTGGCTAAGAGGGGCAGGTACACTAGCCAGCAAAGCGTGGGGATAGGAGGACAGTCTTTATGGGGAAGGACTTGTTGCTTTTGGGTTGGTCGGAGCTGTAAGCCTGTGGCCCCGGTACCTGTAGCTCAGATGCCTGTGGTTTTTCAAGTCAAGGTTTATTTTATTTATTTTTTTTTTTTTTTTTTTATTGTTGATTGTTCAAAACATTACAAAGTTCTTGATATATCATATTTCACACTTTGATTCAAGTGGGTTATGAACTCCCATTTTTACCCCATATACAGATTGCAGAATCACATCAGTTACGCATCAGTTATACTTCCTCAAGTCAAGGTTTAAACACACACCCAGGTATGTGGCATTGTTTTGCTGTAGTTGCTGTTGTTGGTTGAGCCTGAAGCTATTAAATGATTAACTTTCCTTATCTTTTCTCCTCTAAGTACTCCTGAAGGACAAATTGGCAGAAAAAATGGCACCATAGCTTTTGCCACGATGGGAGGCAACGTCACCAGCTATGGCAGTATAAGAAGAAGGCACCCTTAACTTTAAACATCAGCAGCTTGGCATCAGCATCACCAGCAGGAGGGGTATAGACTGGGAGAGGTGCCCATGAGAGCTACGGAGGGGTTCTCTTTGGTGGGCACCAGCTGTGCTCTTCCCTTGGGACAGATCCACCATTTTAGGCTGAGAGAGCAACAAGAAACATCATTTTCGGACACATGGCTGCAGGTAACAGAAACTTCGCCTGAGCTAACTTACACAGAGAGTTTATTGAAAGGAGATTAAGAAATCTCATGGACTTCCAGGGCAGGGACACAGCTGGCTGGGCATGAGAACTGAAGCTGGGTGTGTAGTATTTGGTGGATCCAGAAGTCCTCATTCCTCTTTGCTCATCTCTGGGAGTCTACTCCCCTCCTCCTGCTCTTGGTCTCTGTGTGGAGTTCTCCATTTTCCCAGCCTCCAAGCCAGAAAATGTTTGCTTGACAGCTCCCAGGTTTGCATGCTTCACCTAGACACTCAGACAGGCTGCTCCCTCTTTCTCACTCCTTGGCTCTATTCCAGTTCTGAAAGTTCTTCAGATGATACTGTGTGGATTGCTTTGGGCTTGCTGCCAGCCCCATCAATTGCTGGGGAATAGGATGTTCTTTTGGGAATACTGAAGCCCACTGCAGTCATATAGAGAAAAACAGGAAGGTCCCTCCTACACAAGGTGCTCTGGTTGGAAAATCAGTAAGTACACCCCAACAGCACCCTGCCAAGAAGCTGATACTGGAAAGAAAGCTGGTGACCCATGTGCAGTAACCTAGAGATTGAATTTACAGATCATAATGTGACATCTGCTAGCAACGCCCAAAACTACATGAAAGGAGTTTGAAGCATTCTAAAGCTGCTATGAGACTTACATTCTAAGAGCCTGCGAAATATGAATGTGGACTGATCCACCTACTTAATTCTTATGCACTCATCAGTGTGCCCAGGAAATACGTGTCATAGCAAGAAGCATCTGTCAGATTCCACCCACTATCCTTAACACCAATTAGAAGCAACTCCTTTCACCCCTCACCTTGAGAGCCTGTGGTAGAGTAGGGTATAGCAACTGACTACCGCAGTCAGCACACAATCAGCACACTTTCCTCTAACATTGGGCTCTTCAGACCATCTGGTCACATTTAGGGAACACTTGAGAGGCAGCATATCTGGTGCCCCATATATTCATCATTATTTTTTGAAAAAAAAATATTATGAAGTGATTTTAGAGTTATAGAAAAAATGCAACAGAGAGTTCCCATTTACCCCTCAGCCCAATTTAACCTCTTAAATGGCTACAATAAAACTATCAAAATCAGGAAATTAACACTGGGACAACACTATCAATTCAACTACGGACTGTGTCTCAATTTCAATGGATTTTCCACCAATAACATTTTTCTCTTCAGAATCCTGTTCAGGATTCCACATTGCATTTAGTTTTTTCTCCTTAAACTCCAATCTGTAAAAGCCTCTGCCCTCCTCCTCCAATTTTGTTTTGGCAAGCTGGCTCTTTTGAAGAGCAGATATTTTGCAGACTGAGCCTCAATTTTGATTTGTCGGATCAAACCCATGATTTTGCCAAGAATATAACTGAGATGTTGTGCACCGGACAGTGGGGTTCATGGTGTTCCTAGGTCTTTTGTTGGTGACGTTAACGGGACCTGGTAAAGGCAGTGCCTGTTGGGATTGTCTTCTACTGTAAAGTCATTTTTCAGAGAACATAGTAATGTTGTGGTCAATAAATCGATTGGGAGTGATACTCTCAAAGAATGCAAATCTTGTTCTTTCTCAGACTTTTGCCCTCTGTACCTTTAACATTCATCAGCAGATCCAGAGCAGCAATCATTACTATAGCATTTAAATAACGGTGAATCTCTATTTCCCTCTTCTCCTTTATATTTTTCAATTGGAATTCTACTGTAAGGAAGAACTGTCTTGTTCTGTTTCTCTTATTTGTTTATTAATTGATTATTTATATCAGTATGGATTCATGAATTTTGATCTTTCTATGGGTTACAATCTTATACTGTTGTTTGCCAATGTCTCGGCTTGGCACAGAATCACGAGCCACCACATACCTTGTAGATTCAAACAGCAATCCTTTATTCCCGAACTTACACCGGCCTCTACACAAACAGGTTCTGGGGAAATCCAAGTTTTCCCAGCCCAATTCACCTACTCCACGAGGCTTTTTCCCAATCCCCTTGAATCTCATGAGAACTCAACGGGAACAAGCAGCAGGAACACCCTAATCCCAGCAGCAATAATCTTCAACCTCCAACTTCCCTAAAACCCCTATTGTCTTAAACCGGGAACGCCCTAAACTCAAGGAGTGGGAGACTTCCTCAAACCTGATCAGCTCTAAACCCGGATCCGCCCTGGTCTTTGAGCAAGGTCACCTTACTAAAGCATACATGCAATGTCCCATTGAATGTCCTCTAAGCAGCATGGGGTACGCTGGCAAGGAAATATCGATGCGTCATTCCTACTTGGCAATGGCCCTCAGCGATTGTTATTTTAAATTAAAAAAATTTAACTCACATTGTTACAGTTTGACCATTAGGAACTCCTTTGGGAAGGTTTCTGAACCAGGAAAAAAGCTTCCTTTGGGCTGGGGCTACAGCTCAGTGGTAGAGCACTTGCCTAGCATGAACAAGGCCCTGGGTTCAGTTCCTAGCACTGCAAAATAAATGATCTTGTTTTGCATTGAAGCCTTACCATTTGCTGGTTGTGTGGCATTAAGCAACACACTAAACGTTTCTATGATAATCATCTGCAGGTTGTTTGTAATAACAGGTATGTGAAGGGTGAGGATCAACTTAGGCAATGAGCATAGTGTTTGCAACAGAATCTTCTCTTAACTGTCTTGATCCAGCCAATCCAATCAACATCCGTGTGTGAAACATGTTTCCTCTAATGAAAGAGCTCTCAGAACAAAGCATGCATCTTGAGGACAAAGGTAAAATCTGTGACTTCCTGAAGCATTCTGAGGTAAAACTTGCAGTATTTGCACTTAGAAGACTCTATCTTTCTGCTAAGTGCTGGGAAGCAGGCTGTCTGAAATATCCAAGTTAGGGGTGTCCCCAACCCCAACACTTATACTAAGTTCTTGAAAGTGGAATTCTCCTTTTATTTTTATAGCAAAACTTGTTCTGAGACAAGAAAGCAAGAGTAACTTTTAAAGCTCAGTCATTTATTCCATCCAATAAGATTAGTAAATTATTTTATAAGTCATTTTGTTGCTGTTGTTTTATGGAAGATATTTGCAAGGGTAAAACATTTCAGGGTGACTTGTCCCTCTTAAGTTTGTTGGGAAATAAGAGTCTGGATAAGTCCAAGCCACTACCAAGCCAAAGAATGGCTTGGAAATAAACATGTGCTTTCTACAGGCAGAATCCTTGTCTTATGGATTTTTATTTCTTTCTTTCCTGCAGGGCTGGTGATCAAACCCAGGGCCTCACACATGCTCAGCAAGTGCTCTACCAAGAGCTACACCCCAGCCCACCTTATCAGTTTCTGTATCCTTTATGAGGATACTGAATAGATGCTGTCAACATCTCTCAGACTGAAGCTGAGAATTTCCACCTTTACAGATTCGTGATATAATAAGAAAAATGAAAGAAAAAAAGTCAAAATTTATTTATAAAAATTGTAATTATTTTAAATGTTGAAATTAAATACTGAAAATACTTGAACTTCTAGCTGGGTAGGGTGGTACATAACTGTAATCCCAGCAACTCAGGAGGCTGAGGCAGGAGGATCACAAGTTCAAAGCCAGCCTCAGCAACTTAGTGAGGCCCCGAGCAACTGTTTCAAAATAAAATAGAAAAACATGCAAATCTATGATGATCTATAAATAAAATATACATGTAAAGTATACCAGTGAAGATTTTTTGTTTGTCGTTTTCAACTTTAAGTGTAGATAGAATAAGAAGTGATATCAAAATGGGCTGAGTGGAGTGTGGCCAAATGGACCCCACCCTGTTCCTTCAGTCCCATCTCCAATTAAAGATAGGCCTAACTTGTTGGATACACACACTATTAAAACACTTAAGATCGAAATTGTATGTTATAGAAATTGTGTGCTTCAAATATTGCCTATTAGGTATAAACATGAGTATCTATCTTGTCAATACAACGTGGAAAACTACACTGATCTTATCACTACAATTTAAAACTGTGGCTTTTCTTTGTACTGTCTGCTTTGGCTGTTGGAGGAACCTACCGACAGAGGAGGATTTGGGCACAGTATCTTGAGTTAGAATTGTAGAATCATAGGCTACAAGAATCAGAAGGGATTTGGATTTATTTGGTAAACTTTCCTCTGTTTCAGGAGATAAAAACAAAATGTCCTTAAGGCCACTGATAAGCCAAAACCAGAAGCCAGTCCTCCTGAGGGCCCAAGAGGCTTTGTTTTTACAAACACGCTTAACATGAAGCAGATGCCCCCGATTATTCAAGCATGCATCTCCCTTCTTCTCAGAATAAATTTTAGCTAGCTTTGCCATTTGTCCTGGATATCTGATACCATGATAAGCCATGCATTGTGACTCTACAGTGAAGAGAAGTGAAATGTCTGTGTTAATCCTGTGAAACGTTTCATTCTGTACTCCTAAATTTTCAAAAGCAAATATACCCCCCAAAACTACTATGTAAGCTATACTTAAGTCAGGATGAATCCAATTAACACAGTGGATGGAGAGAGTCACAGCACATAGAACACGCAGGACCTGATTCATATATATATAACGTGCAAAAAAGTAAAAGTGACATTGGCTGGTAGAAGTCAAGGTTCTGGTTACCAATCTTTGTGGCCAGGGTAGTAAATGGAAGGGGCCACAAAGGGGGAGCTGCCAGAGTCTTGCTCTCAGGCAGTAGCTAAGCGTTACGTAGAGTTTATAAAGATCTATGCTTATAGCATATGTTCTTTTGTAATCTGATGAACAGTTTCACAAAAGAAGGGAGGTAGTGATGGGTCCACTGTAATGTGCTTGGGATGAGCAACATTCAGAAACACAGATTTTTTTTTTTTTATTGGTTGCTCATGACAATCATATCATACATTTGATTCAAATGGGGTATGAATTCTAATTTTTCCATGTGTACAGGCTGCAGGATCACATTGGTTATACGACCACATATATACATACAGCAATACTAGCGTCTATTGTATTCTGCTGCCCTTCCTATCCCCCCTCCCCTTCCCTCCCCTCCCATCACCTCACTCTACCCAATCTATTGTGACACATTTCCACAGCTATTATCCTGTTGTTCTATAGACCTCATCTCTAGAGTCACATCTAGAAGCATGAAATCTACTTTCTACTAGACTTTTTTTTT